CGAAACTTTTTGATCATCACTGGAGTAATAGGCTTCGCTATCGCTCAGCCAAATAGGCTTCGCTATCGCTCAGCCAATAAAGCATTCCGGTTAAGCTGAAATGCAGAAGATAACGGGGAAGAAGGAAACGGAAGTCACCATGTTAAAGCATAGGGTACTCCGGGGCTCGGCTAGACCGGAAGGAGAAGAACAAAAATCATCGGGCCGCTCGGGCGCGGGGAGGAGCGGGGTACTGCCCCCACCCTGCCCCGCTCCTCCCCGCGCCCGACCGGCCCGACGATTTTTGTTCTTCTCTTGCCGGTCTAGTCGAGCCCCGGAGTACCCTATAGCGATTTCCGTTTTCTTCTTTCCCGCATTCTTCTGCATTTCAGCTTTACCGGAATGCTTTATTGTGTAAAAACTCTAACGACACTACGCCAGACAACCTAACCTCAGCTGGACTGCAACCATGCTGCCGCTCATCTGCTTTGTTTTTAGGCGGCACTACGCTACGCCACGCTTTCTTCTTGTTCTTCTTACTGAGCAACCTATCCATAAAACGATGGCAAGGGGGGAGGGGGGCGGGGCGGGGTGTCCACTAGACTAGACTCTTGTCTGCTGTTGTGCGCATGCCCCCGCCCTCCTCCCCCACCTGCCAGCCACAGCCACAGCCGCTAGCCGCAGCCGCCGCCCGCCGCCGCACACATCACCTCAGTCGGTGCGCGCCAGTCGACCCGGCCTGACGTACCGTCCGTGCGAGGCAAAGCTCCCTGTAGCGAGCAGCGAGCCGACCGGAGGCTTCGCAGTCAACCACCAGTAAGCAGGACGCAAGCACACAACTCGTCGGTAAGCGGAGAACCAACGCTTTCTTTCTTTCTTTGGGGAAAGAACATACTCTTTGATCTTTCTATTTCGGCATACCTCGTGATAGGGTATTTCGCTGAATCTCGATTAGGAAGTAAGAAGTCTACAAAAAGTATTGTAACGATATGGCAAGGGGGGAGGTGGAACTGTTTCCGCCTTCCTCTTCACCCCTTGCCCATGTTTCGAGATTCAGCAAAATATCCTACAGCGTGTTCCGCTGAAACAAAACCGGGACCCAAATAGAGTATTCTGCTGAATCCCTAGGCCGGAAGTGAGAAGTACTAGCTTTATGTTCGCCAGACCACGTCTCGCGTAACAGGCTTCGCAATATTTGACGAAACACTGTTACGCTGCGACGCGCCTGGCATACATCTACCTAGGCCTGCGGCGCTGACACCCGAGACAAGTTAACGGGAAAATACGGCTATAGGGTATTGGTCTAGAGCGCTGAGCGGAAGTAGGAGAACAAGAACGGAAGGTGGAAAGGCGCCCGGGGAGAAGTGGAGGGCAGGCGGGGAGGAGCGCGGGCGCCTTTCCATCTTCCGTTTTTGTTCTTCTACTCCCGCTCAGCGCTCTAGACCAATAGGGTATTCCGCTGCAAGCCAACCAGAACCTAAAGAAGAAAAGCATGACTGCTCGATCTGTTTCCCTCTGCGCGCTCATTGGCTGACCGCCACAGACCCGCCATCTTTGCCCAATCAGCGTTCTGGGGGAAACAGATCGGGTAGTCACGCTTTTCTTCTTTAGGTTCCGATAGTGTTGTAGGGGAATACCCTGTACCCTATAGATCTTTTCGGCCCCCAAATCTGTCATGCATTTGTCGGAGACTTATAACTTTATAATAAGGGAAATGAAACTTCTGACATTCGATAAAGATATTCATTGAAAGTTCTGATTTTGGGAGGTTGTTGGTTGGGCGATTAGCGAAGCCCATTACTGCACCGACCGAAAGAGCTTCTTTCTGTTTGTCTGTACGCACGATAACTCGAGAAGCAATGGACCCTTTCTAAATTAGCAAAGTGAAGGACAAGGTGTAAAACATCAGGCAGGAAACTGTTGCTTTTAATAACTCAAACGTTTTTTTTTGAATGAAAACTTGCATACAATGTAAACAATATCAAAATGATACGACCTACAGTTTATTCAAGTGTTTTGGGTACATTTGGGTGATTAAAAGCTACTGCTTCCGGTCTATTGTTCTTCACCTTTTTCTTCACTTCGCGAATAAATGGTTCCGGCAGTGTCCGTTTAAAAAAGAGTTAATGAAATCACCACCGGAAACAGTTCTAAAATTATGGCTTAAATCAGTGAAAACTAGAATTGACAGTTACTAGAGATTTAATCAAGGTCATTCACGTCAAACTGCACTGCACTGTCAAATGACAAAAGTAAGCGCACTTTAGGAACTGGTTCCGGTCCCGACTCCTTCATTTCTTCTCAATAAGCGCACTGTGGGAACGGTCTATTCTGAAAGTGTCTATAAGGTAGGTTGTCCCATTTCGGCGAGTCAGGTCGCCGATTTCACCAGTTCGCCTCTCAAATGAAAGTAAAGGTCCTTCCGATGACAACGAGCACCCACAGACCCCTGTGCGACAAGCGGAACCATAGGCGGATGGATCGTTACCAAAGTTTCTTGTCCGTTTTCGCGCGCTCCTCGGGTACCATGCTCTTGAGGCCGCCGGGCGCGGGTCGCGCGGCCGGAGAGGACGACCCGGTGTGTGGTGAGTGCCTAGGGTAATGTAATGTACTCACCATCACCTGTCTTATTACTCATGTAGCATTGTCGTAGTATAAAATTACTCGAAATGCATTTTAAACATCGAACTCAAGTGTTCTCAATGCGTAAATTGATCATACGCGCATACGCGTCTCTTTCGGGCGAAGAACTTCTCATACCATTTCAGGAGTTTCGGTTCTTCTCTCGCCCTGGCAGGAACGGGACAGGTAGTCTACACCCGGTTTTAGGTTATGTCGCCCGGGTACCGGGTACCGTTGATCGGGGACGATTGCCGATTCCGCGGAAATGTAGCGGAGCCGTATACTCTAAATGTAAAGGGACAATTTTGTCCGTAGATTTGCAACGATTTCGTGCACATCCAGAAAGGATGCAATTTTGTTCCTAAAACTAGACAAATTGTGTGAAACTTCACACAATTTGTCCAATTAAGGGAACAAAATTGCATCCTTTCTGGATGTGCACGAAATCGTTGCAAATCTACGGACAAAATTGTCCCTTGACATTTAGAGTGTATGCTTATCGAACCTCCATGCTGAGTTCTTAACGTTTTCCTGCATCACACCATAAAGGCGAGCAGAAGTGCGAGAGAAGCGACCACCGCATTCAAACATAGCGCGGCGGGACGCTGTGCAGCGCGTTAGTAGAACCCTATGGGCGAACATTTCGTCCGTTTTGCTCTATCTTGTACCGTTAGAGTGCTAGAGATCATTTCTTGACGAAAATAATGTGAAAATGACCAAATGGTCTATTACATCGTAGAAAAGGCGAGGGGGCCACCACATCGATTGAGGATGTACACAGGATTACAGGGATTACACGTGAATTTTGAGTGATTACACGTGAATTTTGTTGAATTTCAGGCTCTAAAACCATCAAATTTTGACAATAAGGTGATATTTTGTAATAATGTTGTAAAATTTGGTCAAGGATTACACGGAATAGATAAGGATTACGTAGGGATTACACCCTCATCTGTACACAGGATTACGCGAGTGGTGGCCCCCTCGAGAAAAGGCTTCATTACGAAAAATTGTAAAGGGAGTAGTACTAAAACCACACATTTGGCGTCAAACTGCACCACCTTTTAGGGTCTATTTGCCCCAGATTTCTTTAAGTTCTTAAGTCAAAGGAATCGTTTCCAGAGCCATTTATGTGACGACACGGAAGTTACAACATGTAACTTCCGTGTCTTCGTCATACAAACAGTCTGTGTGTAATACAAATGCACCAAATCATTTGAACGTTACGAAGAGCAGTTGTTCGTAAGCTTCTGTGTCATTTTGGCGTGATTTCCGTGTCTTTTTATCGTGGGCAAAAAAAATATTTTGTGTCCGGGAACTACTTGCGGTCTATGGGTTCAGCGGAATACCCTATAAGAACATCACCACTCCCGCTCCTTTTAACTCGTTCTTTACTACCCCTGCAGCTGACCTAAGGCTACTCTGCAAATCCAAGCGCACAACAAGTTGGTAGTTATTACAGCAAAACAAAAAAGTTGTGCACCTCCAAGGGGTGCTTTCTGCCCAGAGATAAAAACATATTTTCTGATGACATCATCATCTTCGTCTTACAATTCTCTTTCCAACGAGCATAAATATGGTCACAATAGATTTTTAGTGATTTTTGAAACGAATTTACCGTTATGTCCGAAGTTAGGGCACATGTGTCCGAAGATAGGACACTTTCGTGCCTAAGCTCGGACACTTCTTCAGGAGCTGCTGTGGGTCAACGTGTTGGTATGTGGTATCAAAATCTGTCTCGGGTGTCATTCGATAGCTCTTCAGGCAGAGTACCTCCAATCTCAACAGATTTTTCATACTCAACCGCGTGTTCACGAAACAGTCGAAAAACCGCTGAAATTGTCCGAAGTCAGGGTATCTGACGGTACCGTAGCTTTCTGTCATCTTTCCGTTACCTTGTCCCTGACGAAAAATTAAAGTGCACTGTTAAAAATATGTTGGGATTTTCCGAAGAGTCCATTGCAGCGACGTTGGGAATTCCCAAAGCCTTTGGTTTCGAGGTTTAGCATGGTCAAACATAATGTCAGCAAACAGCAGCGGGTTTCTCACAGAGCCCTTCCCACGTGAATCAGCTAAAATTGAACATTCAAATGGTTTGTGACCGTGTTTGTGACCTTTATCAAGCAATTCTCGTATTACGCTTGATGTGAACCTACCGGAACCTACGAAGGCGTTGGGAAATCCCAGAGATCTCTGGCAATTTTTTCACGACTACTTCGTGAAATCCTAACAAACTTTTTAGCAGATTATACCTTTTGCAACGAAAACTGTTAAATCCTTGGAACCTTTTAACAACTGTAGCATGTGTTTGTTCCCTTTGCTTTACAGTGTTTTACACCGACCGGTGCGACCATATCTTTCGAGAGAGTATTTCTCATTGGAACTCCTGGAATGTTCGGCATCAACAGCTTCCGCAACGCCGCCAGCAGCCAGCCAGGAGATGAGGATGACACCTGCTCGACCTCATCGTCGGACTCCGACATGGAATTCGGAAACAAGTACACGAAGTACGTACAAAATAAGTAGACCATATCAGGTTAGGTGCACTGTACACTAAATGTAAAGGGACAATTTTGTCCGTAGATTTGCAACGATTTCGTGCACATCCAGAAAGGATGCAATTTTGTTCCTAAAACTAGACAAATTGTGTGAAACTTCACACAATTTGTCCAATTAAGGGAACAAAATTGCATCCTTTCTGGATGTGCACGAAATCGTTGCAAATCTACGGACAAAATTGTCTCTTGACATTTAGAGTGTAATGACCATGGACTTCATTGTTTCCAGCTGATGGACTTCTGTAAGCATGACTAAGCCGGATACAATATTGTGTTTCGTTTGTTATTTCTAAAAATTTGGTAACGAGAATGACAAAATATAAATATAAAACAATATAACTAGCAAAACACAATATTGTATCCGGCTTAGTTATGCTTACAGAAGTCTATGGTCTGGTAACAATGAAGTCCATGGTCGTTCAGAGTGTGATGACGAAAAAAGTATAGCAAACCGAAACCTTCTACACTGTTCAAAAAATTCGTATATACTTCAGATCAAAATTAATCGCAAAATTGATAACGGCTTTTTATAATTTCGTAACAGTGTCAATTTTACAATTCAGTCCAAAAGTTCACCACTTTTTTGTGAAAATTCAAATCTGTGTGTGTTAGGAAAATAAGGAAACGTTTGTAATTTTACAATACAGGATTGTAAAATTCTGATCGCTGAATCGTAAATTAGAGAACTGATCGCAATTTACAATTCTCGTGTAGATTTTAAAATGAACCGAGTTGTGTTGAGGAAATTTCGTCCATGAACGAAACAAATTGCGGTGTACTAACGTGTTGGGAGTCGTGGTTGTGAGGCAGTCCAGTGCACCCAGAAAAGGTTCCAAGGATTTAACAGTTTTCGGGCTACAAATTTTTGGTCGTACCCTCTTCCCATAAGAGCCCATGTAAAAAAAAAAACGTGGGTACGGAAAGGTACGGAAAAAGTCCTGCTAATTTTGATCCCAAGGTCTTCGTCTTGAGTATGGAGTCTGTTACGGCGTTCCGTACCCCCTTCCCTATGCTAGCCCATGTAAAAATCGTTGGTACGGTGGCCATGTACGGCAAATCTCCGAACCGCTTTCGAAAATCACTCCCTAAAGTGAGGTACGGAACGCCGTGACAGGCTCTGTATCCAAGACTGATTTTTTACAGTGTTGTTTGACTCCCTTCACCCAGGAGATTGTTCACTCTAAATGTCAAGGGACAATTTTGTCCGTAGATTTGCAACGATTTCGTGCACATCCAGAAAGGATGCAATTTTGTTCCCTTAATTGGAAAAATTGTGTGAAGTTTCACACAATTTGTCTAGTTTTAGGGACAATTTTGTTCCCTTAATTGGACAAATTGTGTGAAGTTTCACACAATTTGTCTAGTTTTAGGAACAAAATTGCATCCTTTCTGGATGTGCACGAAATCGTTGCAAATCTACGGACAAAATTGTCCCTTGACATTTAGAGTGTTGGTTCGAATTCACAATGTACATTAAGTCCATAGACTACACTGTAAGTGGATTTGTGATAATTTCAACACAAAACTTTGCCATAACTCATGTTTTGCGATTCCAAAGAAGTATCGCTCTTTGGGACATTAACTTCTTATCGCCAAAAACTTTGCGATAATTTGTGTAGGGGGAGATTATTACCAAATAAAATATGAAAATCTTTTATCGCATGAATTAGAGTGCACAGGCTGGAGATTTAATACAAATAAGGGAGTAACAGCTCCTCCACCTGTACACTAATCCTTGCCATAAAAAGTTATCATACCCAAAAAAGCGATACTTCAGGGGAATCGCAAAATACGAGTTATCGCATCATTTGTGTTAAAGTTATCGCACACACTAAGAGTAGCACTCCATAAAAGTGGGTACGGAACGCCGTTACACTCTAAATGTCAAGGGACAATTTTGTCCGTAGATTTGCAACGATTTCGTGCACATCCAGAAAGGATGCAATTTTGTTCCTAAAACATGGTTGCCACAAAATTTTCATTTCCATTTTCCCTGAGTTTTCCCTGATTTCCAGACCATTTCTCCCCAAATTTCCCTGAGTTTTAAGCACCGTTCCTGGTGAAGTACTGGGACAAACAAATACCCCTAACTGGTAATACAAGACCGCGAGCGAAGCGAGCGCGAAAATTTTTGGGACAAAACACCCTACTGGGACGTCAAAATGTGTATTTGATCTACACAGCGAATAGACTGCAGTTTGGGGACCAGTCACACCAAATTTCCCTGACTTTTTTTCATTTTCCCTGAGTTTTCCCTGATTTCCCTGAGAGTTTTTTATTTCCCTGAGTTTTCCAGGTTTTCAAGGTTTTCCAGAGTTGTGGCAACCATGTAAAACTAGACAAATTGTGTGAGGCTTCACACAATTTTGTCCAATTAACGGAACAAAATTGCATCCTTTCTGGATGTGCACGAA